GCTGCCACGGTACAGGCAGGAGGAATGTAGACAATGAAAGCTGGTCTTTCTGGACTCCTCACACTGCAGATCTGGCAGCCAGGTAATCCAGACACCACGTTCATGGTAACACAAAGTAAACTTAACCTCTGCAGAACCCTCAGGTCACATCAGCGTTACGCCAGCGGGGCAGCTCTCACAGATGAGCATTGGTGTGACTGAAAGGGGAACAGGCGCTGGCTTTGATCGGGGGTTTCTTGCATTTTTTTGTGGTTTGCAATGTCCACAAAGAAATGCTTTGGTGCAAGACATTGTCTAGAAAGCAATGACAGATTGGGGTAAGTGTTTGAGGCACAGCCAGCAAATTCCATTGTAGAGCCCCCATTCACTACACTGAGCATGTAAAGTACTTTTTATCAGCTTTTAAAACACGTTTACCTCGGCCAGTCCAAATGAAGCATTTTATTGATGATATTGAGTAAGGTGCTGTCTACACTGGGTGTCTCATCCCATCAGGATATTTACCTGGCCCGGCTGTGCCCTAACATGCCTTCTTGCTTTGTAGTGCAGGGATGCCATCCTGCGCATCCCAAGCACAGTCCTACTCTAGACCCATGTTAGGGAAATGTGGCCTTACATAGCCTGGGATAGTTTACTAACATGATTCTGTAAGCCCAGTGCTCACTCACAGCACACTCACATAAAATTAAAGGTGTCAAACCACACGCTGCCAAACACTGCAATGTTTGCAATGTCAGAGTCAGAGACATACTGCAAACAAAGTGGAGGAGCCTATGTACATGAGTTGTACTGTTCTGCAGCAAGGCAGTAACAATGCAAAACCCTCTCTCACTTTTGGCTACCTGTTTCTTGGAACTGTGCTCCTGAAAAGATTTTGGGCAGGGTTTTAAAGGCTATTCCTCCCCACTGGAGGAGCAAGCTGCATGACAGAGCAAACTAGATGGATGCACGGGACTCCAATTTGGCTTGAATATTCTCAGAGAAAGAGAACCTTGGCAGGAATTTAGCTTACAGCATGTTTGCCCAGTATCCCAGATAAAGCTGCCACAGTTAGTCTTCACCAGCCAAGCAAATAACATCTAATGATGTCAGGATGAGCCCTGGTCAAACAGCCCTGGCAGGACAGAGCCTTTGAAGGTCCAGGTGGAGCCCGTCTGCCTGCAAGGAAATGCCTGACCCAGAGGTCATTGCCACTTCATTCCCACTTTCTCCCCGCATCCCTGCTGACAAATTCATTGCTGGAAAGAGACAGGTGCACAACAGAGACCTTCTGTCACAGCCCGGAATGGCATCCTGGGGCGGTGAGCTGATGCTGAATATTATCATGGATGGCAGCTGCCGCCATGCTTCGCTTTTCCAGGAGCTTTTGTTCCCACTGCCTTGCTGGGGCACAGTTCACAATCTCCGCTTGTCATCGTGCTCTTGGACACCCTTGCGCTTGTGACAAGAGTGAGGCTGTCAGGGGATGGCGGCGAGGGTAGGAGGCGATAATAAAATACTAAACTTGGACAAAGCAGTTGTGAGCCAGATGAGGGAAGAGTTTCTTCCTGTGACTGGTTTTGTTCAACTTCCAAGTCAAGGATTCTGAAGAAAGAGGAAAAAGAAGTGTCATTTATTATTTATCATATCAGACAAGCATAAGGTGATACTCTAAAGCTTTTATTCATCTGCTTACGGCTGTTGCCAACATACTAAATTCCCCTCCCAGAAGATTTCCGCTTGAATAATGAACATCCATTTTAGGATGGTGCTGAAACTCAAGGTTGAATAATCTTGACTCAAAGCAGGAAGGAGGATGCAGAGTGAACCCCCTTCTTAGAGTCAAGCAGGACTGACAGCGAGAGGAGCTGAACTGCAGAGGTGAATCCAGGCAGCATCCCACCATGAGGCAGCAATGCCCATCTCGCTGAGGACCTCGTTTTTCTGAAGCTCACAACCCACACTCAGACACTTGCAATCATCACTCTGATGAAACATGTTAGGGAGCCTGATCCTTCAAATAGCTGTTTTATTTAATTGGTGCCCCACCAGGTCCCGGAGAGCTCATGAAAAATTAAACAGAGAACATAAAATATGAATGGGATGATCACAGGCCCATAAAAGCCCTGCAATTCTTGAAAGGTGTTTTACGTGTAATGAATGCTGGATTTTAGAAGACATGTTTCTGCCTCTTTTTCCAAAGAAGGTGCAACAATTTTCAAGCCTCTGCGTAAAACGAGGTGCCTTCAAGGATGCGCCTGGGAGTGCCAGGGAGAGCACATCGCTCCCCCATGCAGATGGTTTCCCTTAGCACGCACGAGTCTGCTGCCCATTTATAACCAGGAAGCAAACTAAACACAGCCAAATACGTGGATATAGTGAAAATACATAGGTATCTAACTTGATGCTGCATTGTCAAAGAAAGTGTAGGACTGAAAGCAAAGATGAACATTTGATCAGAACTACAGGACTCATCTAGTGATCATGTGGTGATAACAACTCTCAGCTTAAATTCTGCCCAGTAAATGTAATATATAACTTATGGTAGCTCTTGTTGACTCTTGTCCTTTATTCTGGGTGCTGTGTACAGATATTTTTAGCTGACCTTTCTGAACCTTCTGGGTCTGTGGCCTCAATGGTAAGCACATTCTCAGTTTTCAGAAATTACCCTGGAAACAATCACAGCCCTACTGCTGTGGTCTATCAGCTGAGAGTCAGCCTTAGTATGTTTAAAATTAGGTTTATAAGATGGACCCTATGGATTAGTGTTTCCTAGACTGCCAGAAATTTTGGTGCCAAAGGAAACTGCTGCCAGCGTAAAGTGCTCCCTTTTTCTAGGAATTAGAATTACTGCAGAATGACCATATACTTGAAGAAACTTGCTGTTTACTTCATGGAGGTCTCTTTACCACCCTGTTAGGCTACGTGCTATGAACTGTCATTTTGTCTCAGATGTTCAAAAAAAAAAGCCGTTGACCAAGCCCATGTGAGGTTACACTGCCTCAGCCCCTGGAAAAGAGCTTCCCCTCCCCTGCCCTTGCCTTTGCCCTGGTGAGCACCTCCTGCCTCTGCTGACCGCGTGCTCCCTGGGGTGGTCACCAGCATCTCCTGTCTCAGCTGCGGCGCTGGACGCTCTCAGCACCGTGCAAATGGATGGGGATCCCTCCTCAGCAGGCTCCGTGGTGACAGCCACAGTTCTGGCTCTGGACCCTACCCCCGGCAAGGGCATTCAGGGGCAAACAGGCCTTTATTTTGTTTTCCTTCAGGGAAATGTGCTTGGTTTTGCTACGTGGCTCCTGCTTGCGGTGAAGTCTGCCTCCCTCCCATCCTCGGCATTTAGCAAGGCCGGCAGCTGCAACAAGCTTCACAAACCGCCACCTGCATCTTTTTGTTTTGCGTATCATCTCCCTTGCCTCTTATCACAGAAGGATGAGCAAGGAGAAATGATCCGCTCAGGAGAGCCCTTTCTTCTCTCTAAGGTAATTTGGGAAAGGATCTGTCACATAACACCACTTCTTTACATTGTCAGCCGGATACCTGACAACCGTTCTTATCTACAACGGCTTGAAATGTTTGTGTGAAAATGGCTCTGGCTCCCTTCCTCTTCCCTCAACTTGCAGGAAGAAAATAGGCTTTTGAGAAAAATCCGAATTTTAAAAGTGATCTACATTTCACGTAATTAAAACCAATGTCGAGTAAGTAAATGGATTTTTTGCATGATATGGATTAAATGAATTGGGAGCGACAGCTCCGCATCTACGCAGGAGAGAAGCTCAAGCACTACATTCCTCCATCTTCATAAGGCCCACACTCTCTATCAACAGCTGTATCTACACTAAATGATGTTCTTCTCACGCACCGATTACGAACTGTCAGAAAATATACACGTAATCCTTCACATCAAGATCTGCTCATGCAATTTTTAAATACCACACTGTAAGCTGCGGTACTTATCCTAAGGGCTTCGTGTATTGGAAGGAGAAAAAAACTGTTATCTGCTAGATCATCAATACCAAAGGCCCCACGAATATGGTTCTTTTTCAGGAGATCAGATGCAAAATAAACACAGCTTTTATTAAAACCAGGATATCAGCTTTTACCAGGGCTAAATTTGTTCTGCTTCTGTCTGTGAAGTAATTGATTTCCAAGCCTAGATGCCACATATTTGTATTAATTATCTTTAGTTGAAAACAGTGAAGTACCCCTCTAACCAAGGCAAACCGCACAACTGATTTCCAGCTACCGGTGCCAAACCGCACGGCAAAACCCACTTCAGAAGAGCCAAATCCACTACAGTCCAACAGGACAGAAAACTTCAAGCCTGTGAAAACCTAGGGGGTCACCTGGAGCAAACTTTTATGGTCCCAGCAGAAAGCTGTGAGGGAAATAAGATTGCTAGCAGGAGCACTCACTCAGCTTTGCTTTCCTGATACTTGGGGGTGCCTCTGTATAGGGTGAAGGGAGACAGAGTGAGGGACAGTAAGGACGGGAAAACTGTAGCAGTATAATATAAATACAGCGCACTCCTCATTAGTAATAGTTTCAGCAGTATAGTATAAATACAGTGTACTCCTAATTAGTAATAGTTTCAGTTCAGTCTGTTACCTAAGCAACTGTAATGAAGGCTTGAATACTTTTCTAAGTTTTTTTCTAGCTTTTAATATAGCAGAAATTAGAGGAAACAAGCTATTTACAAAGCAGGAACCTGCAAAGGACAGACATCCCTCACAGCCACTGACTCTTTAATTTCATGTGGGGGGTCTGATCTTAATCTGGCAAGCTGCACGCATTTATTTGTTTGTATTTTGGGTTTTGTAACGAGACGGGTTTCTGCTTTGCAAAAAGGCCATACCGGAACATGTAGTATACAAACTACATCTTCCTTCTGCCCTTCATGAAAAGACTAAAATAAACTAAGTCAACCGCTTGCTAAAGAGCAAAGGGAAATATATAAATCAACAGGGCGAGGCTTTGCACACACCTTGAGTTCACCAGGCTGCAACGCACGCTGAAAGAAGCCATCATGCGAGTTCCTGGATCACCTTGTTAGTCTCCTTGGCTTTCTTACACGTGTACAGCCATTTGATTATGCGAGCGTTGCGCTCGATCACGGAGGTGCTGCTCGGGACCTGCTCTGTGAGTTCATCCTCCAGCAGCCCCTCGTCCCCGCTGTGCCTAGTGAAGTCACTCTCAGAGGTTGCCACGCTGATGCTGCGGATCTTGAAGGAGACGTTGTCGGACACCACGGAGAAGTTCTCTCTCCCAAGATCCTCGATGACCTCCTGCTCCAGGCCACAGTACTTGAAAAATGTATCAAACTCGGAGAAGGACTTGGAGTAGCGAGAGCTGATGTCCGACTGGGAGCGATGGACACCTCTCCTCTTCACCTCCTTGGCCTCCTCAGGAGGTACACTCGGGTTTGAGGGTCTCTCGTGCTCTTCTGTACATACCCCTGGGGCTTCGGCGCTCGCAGCGACCGTCTGCTCCGCTGCACGGCCGCTCGGCTCCCGGTCGCCATGCTGCGCCGAGAGAGGCTCTTTGCTCTCGGCGGCTGCGGCGCACTCCACGACTCGGGGCATCTCAGGGGAAGCCAACTGCTTCTCCTTTATGGACCCCTGGAAGATCCTCCTCACCAAGCTCCCCCGTGAGCTGTCCTGGCTTTGACCTCTCCCAAACTCGCACTTCTGGCGGTAAATCACCAGGGAATCCGGCCGCATCTGCCTCTTGGGGGTGCTGCGCCGGGCTATGGGGGGGCCGTGCTGCAGGGGGGCACGGCCGGAGTACACCGCCTTGGCCAGCTCCAGGGGCTTCGCGCCCTTCCCTCTGCCAAAGTCCCTGCTGACTTTTTTGCTCTCCACCGAACAGGTCTCGCTGCTGCTCTCCGAGGCTGAGCTAAGCACGATGACGGGCTCCTGCGTGGCGCCGCTGACCCGCTGGCTCTTCACGTACT